AAGCCTCAAATGTCAACTATACATTGGATTGGTTTCTTCTTTAAATAAAAAGGTAAAAATATGCATGGTATTACAGGGATCAACGCTAAGGATTTTTTTCTACTGGCCCAGTCGGGCCAGCGGTTCAAATTTTTACTTGCCCTGCCAACATTTTCATAGTTGCTGTTATCATTATTTTTGATTTACGTTATCTTGTTTTCTAATAAATAAGCTTATATGACACCAATATCTTAGATACCAATTAAATTGTACAATTCTCTATTTCAATTTCGATACCACAGCAAAAATCACTAGCCAAAATAAACATAAATATAAATATAAAGTTTAAACATTATTAAAGACAAGTGACAGTCAGTAAATAAAAACAAATGAACAAATTACAGGTAATAGCACAAAAAACAGTTTAAACTTTTAGAAAACACGTCACGAATTTGTGGAGGTTTATTCCTTTTCACTGCGTCTCTTATGTTTTTAAAGGCAATCTGTGTGAAGGGCGATTCGGCTCTTTGTATTAAGCAATGCATAAATACATGATACTGTTTTGTTTATAATTGTTTATGCAATTTACAAAATTATGTTTGATTTATATGAGTTAATTAAGACGTAATGCACATGTTTTTTTATAGACAGTTATTTCCTTGCATTGACAATTTAATGTGCTGCATTATTTTTGCTCATTGTGCCCTCCTGTGGCCTCGGGAGACAAGCCAAAAGTGATTTTACAAAGCTACGAGAATACTTTTTGTGCGAAAAAAAAAAAGACTTTATTCAACAATTTGTCTCCTCCGTGTAGTGCCATTTTGGAGAGTATCCACTGAACACAAACAGTGTATGCTGTTTTGTGTCAGCTGTGCCCACGTGGATACGTTGTTTTCGTTCAAATCAAAGCGTAACCGATGTAAACAGTGTATCCGCATGCCGCAGCTGACACAAAACAGCATACGTTCAGTGGATACTCTCCAAAATGGCGGTACGGTGACGCGGAGGAGACGAATTGTTGAATAAAGTTTTTTTTTTT